TCGCGCGGAATAGTTTTCTATATGAGATCGCTGCAAAAAGTGCAGCCTCACCTATTGTCCACCCTACTGTTACTTATTTTATATTAAGGTTTTAAAATCTAGTTGGTATTGGTATGGCGAGTAAACTTCAGTAATAACAGTAAATCACACAGCAATAGTACATTGATGTAGTTGTAATAAGCATTATAATATATTAAGTAATCCAAAGTATTCAGAATACGTTGCTCTGATTGAGCATTGTAATGGAATACGTTACAAAATACATTTTGGGTAATGTATTCTGTAATCTATAGTGGAATACATTTTAAAAGTAAACTTCCCAACACTGGCTAACTTGTATATGACAAATGAAACTGAAAGGCTTCAGATAGTTAAGAGTGAGAAAAAAAATGCGTTCAAGTGTGCAATTTGGTCTTGTTACACAATATTTGGAATTAAAGAAAACAAACAAAACACTACATTTTAGGAAATATTAGTGGGTGTTTTTGTGTTTGTTTTTTTGTACTACTTGGACATAAAAGTGGCCCTCCAGTGAGATGATGGTGCCAGGAGTGGCCCGCGGCTCATTTGAGTTTGAGACCCTGATCCAGAGCCATACAAAGTGAGGATGTAACACTATTAAAGAGGTTATTGACTTAGGTAGCTGCTCTTTAAAAAATTGTGCAATCTAAGATTGTTTCATAAAGTTGCTTTCACTCTAATATGCAAGGAACTTTATGACACAATCACACATCAAATGGTTGAGGACCCTGCGTAGAATCTTTCCTGTGCTCTTCTTGATAGAAATCTTGGATGTTGTTCCAGGGACCTGCTGTCATAAACCGAGTGGTTTTCCCAAGGAGTGGACTCAAAAGCAGACACACGGGAAAACGTTTTACTGAGATTTATTGAACTTTGATAATCACAGGGTAGAGGGGATCTGGGGTTGGAATAACTAAAGGGGACAACAAGTTGACTGGCACTGGAGAGGGGGTCATGAGGGCTGGATAACGGAGGGGAGAGTGGCAACGAGGAACAGAGAAATGAGGAAGGGTCTGCAAGAAGATGGAGAAGCTGTTATTGTTATGAGGTAAGGAGCAGGTAACAGAAAGGAGTTTCCTGGTGAGTTTGTACTTCTTACTTGCAGGTCCGAGCTCAGGGGGCACTGAGGAGGGGAGCTCAGTGGAAGTGTTGAGAGGTAGTTGAGCAGCCAGAGTATCTGGGATACAGTGCCAGCCTTTGGTACTTCTTGAGTGACAAAAATGAGGACCCATGCATGCACCTTGCTTTGCGTTTTACTGATACAGGCTTTTACACACTCTGTATGAGCAGCTTTCCACACCACTCTTTCCTCTGGTCTTCTGGCAAATTAACAGCCATTTAATGGCCGCTCACTTTTGGCCTTTATGTTGTTGCTGCTTTAAAATGACCCGGTCTACCTATGCTAGCCCTGAATTGGCACAAAGGCACAGTAGCCCTCAGTGCAATTTTTCACAGCTATGTTAACATGACACAAGGTTACTTGACTTTATAAACGTAGCTCTCCATCGTCTACATCTATAACAGTTCCAGCACATAGCTCTACACTTTAAGGGTGTTTACTAGCAAAAACATATAGCTACATAGACCAAAGTTTCACTGTGAAAGCTGCCTAAACGTTTTATAACATTTTTTTCTTCTCCAGAAAATGCAATAAAATACTTTACCTTCCTGCTAATATTAGCTCCATCCTAGCCTTGAAGAGGTTGTAGTGTTAAAGACCTGGTTCGGGAACAGCACCATGCAGGACAGACGAGCTCTACAGGGGGTTGTGCGGTCGGCTGAGCGCCCCATCCGCTCCGAGCTCCCTGACCTGCACTCAATCTACAGCAGGCGGTGCTGGACCAAGGCCAGGAAGATCGTGAAGGACCTCAGCCATCCCAACAACAGACTGTTCTCTCTGTTGAGGTCAGGAAAGCGATTCCGCTCCCTGAAGACCAACACAGAGAGACTGAGGAGGAGCTTCTTCCCGCAGGCGATACGGTCTCTCAATCACACCACCACACAGTACTGACCCACACATGGTTCTTACACACACACTGGACTTTCTGGACTTTGTTTTTGCACAACACTGGTCACTATATTCTTCATTTCCGGTTAATACTTGTACAGCTGCTATTATTGTGTATATATTTATTTATATTTAGATTTCTTCATACATTCTTATATAGTTCTATATTGTGTATTTTGTTGTACAGTTATTTTATTTTCAACTTTAATTTATATATTTTATCTTATTCTTCCCAGTTAAATTTACCCTTCATTCTAATTTGTGTTGTACAGTTATTTCATTTTTAACCTTAATTTATATTTTATTCCTTCCTAGTTAAATTTACCCTTTTTAATTTTTCATATTTATTTCCTATCTTATTCATAGCCTTTCCTTTTTTGTTTTCTTTAGGTCACAAGCAGTTGTCCAAGCATTTCACTGCATATCGTACTGTGTATGACTGTGTACGTGACAAATAAAATTTGAATTTGAATTTGATTTGAATTTGATGTAGCGGGACACTTTTAACATGAACCTGGATTTCTTTCATTTTGTGCTTTTGTATTTTGTTTAATTGATCTAAATAGTCTGCTGAAAACAAACAAAATAAAGGTTATTGTAAGCATGTGAACAATTACAAGGGGATTTTGCAGGGATGACATCATCTTTTTGCAATATCTGATGCAATATGGACATTTCACATTCTTATGTCTAATTTGACTGGAGGAGGGAGCTGTCCAATCAAACCTAACTGTTCTTCCAAGCCTTAAAGTGAGAAGTTTAAATACTTCCCAGTAAAAGCAAAGGTGTTTGACTAAGCTCAGAGGTGTTTGTGAAGTCTGATAAAGAGGATTTATCATATACTTTATCCAGATTTGCTTCTTCTTCAACTTCCAAATGGAATATGTCTTCACAGAATGCGTCCATCAATGTAACACACTTTATTATAGGTGGTTTTGACACACTCAGTAGACCTATTGCTGTTGGTGTGGTTATACTAATAGTCTATCTTCTTGCTGTTCTTGCCAATATGATAAATATCATGTTTATTATTTCTGACAAGAGATTACATAAACCAATGTATCTTCTTATTTGCAACCTTGCTGTTATTGATATAATGTACACCTCCAGTTGCAGTCCAACAATGATTGGGGTTCTACTCGCAGGTGGTAATACTATATCCTATGTGGCATGTTTAATTCAAATGTGTGTTTTCCATTTGGGAACAGCGATGGAGTCATTTATTTTAGCATTTATGGCATTGGATAGATTCATTGCAATAATTTATCCTTTCCAGTATCAAAGTTATTTAACAAACACACGTGTTCTTGTTCTTACATTTATCGTGTGGTTCGTTGCCTGGTGTTTTGTGTTTTATATGCCTGCAACTGTTGTCCCCCTCCCACACTGCAGTTCAAGGCTGAAATACAACTTCTGTGACTTTCCTGCTGTAATACGAACAACCTGTGTTAACCCAGAAAAATATTTCAATGAAGTTGTTATTTTCTCATTTTTTATTTTCTTTTTCACTTTCATTTTCATTTGTCTTTCGTATTGTGGAATCTTACTTTTTGTAAAATTATCTTCAAATAATGAAAAAAGGAAAATGGGGAGCACTCTTGTGAGTCACTTAATTTGTGTAATCGTTTATTACTGTCCTGCATTTGTTCGCAATATCTTCACCAGGTTTGGCGTGGTACTAACTCTTGAGGAACGCCAAGGTTTATTAATTGGTGCAGTCCTCGGTCCATGTCTTGTAAATCCTTTTGTGTACTGTCTTAGAACAAAAGAAATTAAACAAAAGTTCTATAAGATTTTCAAAAAGTTTCACACATCTGACTAAAGTCTTGTGAACAGAGTGTGATTTTTTTTTTTTTTTTTGATGAATACAGTGATAGCCCATTCTGAACATTTTGTCACAAAATGAAACACAAACCATTCACCTCGATTCTGGCACACCTTGATTGGCACAGAAGTGCAAATTATTCTACTTTGTGGGTTTTACCCAAGATATTTTCCTTAGCTTTCTATTTTCTTCCTTACTATTCAATTCAATTCATAAAAAATTTAGAATGAAAGGTTTTGATTGTCTTTTTTCCATTTTGTGAAACGGTGTCTGTGAGCAACAGTATGTTTTTTCCTTCTATGCTGTAAATATTTTAATCAACAAAAACTTTAGTAATGATTTATTTGAACTGCTTCAATAATTCTTTTGTTTGTTTCCAGACCTTCAGTAATGTCTGATCAGGTGTTTGGAATACAAGGATAGTATTCAATACCTGAAAGCAGCAACACATTTTTATTACATTTCAAAAATGATGAAAATGAAAGAATTGCTCCAACATCGACCTAACATAGTTGAGATAGCTATAAATAACAATAAAAATTGCTCACTGTAGGCACACCTGGAAAAAATGACATAAGTAACTTGATGCCTTGTAAAAGAAGATGCATGTATGTCTTGGTATCACCTCCCTCTCATGCCAGATATCTGAGCACTGCTAGCAGAAACTCTTACGGCTACATGTGCAAAATAAGACACATGTTTTTGTTGATAAATTCAGCCTAATATGCATCAAATTGCCTGGCACAGACTTTAGTAATTCATGTTTCTATACAGCCTCCTCCCATAATTTTGCAATCTGAAAAGGAAACTTCTACACATAGATATGCAATAAGGTCAGACACAAAGACACCTTTGTGACAGATTTTTAAAGACTCATACACAGCCTCTCTTATACACATGACTGACTTTTGAAAATGCATGATTGAAATTGTGAAATGTTTTTTTTTTTTTTTTTTAACAAATTTGTTAATTTCTTGGAATCTGTTTACAGAAGTAGCTGTTGTTGAGGAATCATTGAGGATCTGGACTTGGGCACTGCTAGCAATCACACTATATAAATTCCATACCCGAAATTTACTTAACTGTGCCTAATCCCACTTCTTTAAGACTTGGTTTACTTGTTATGTAGTTATTACTCATCTCCAGCTGAACCCCTTAGGTCACAACTTGCATTTTGCTATGCACGATCACATGTGGCAACTTTTTTGATTAACGGGGTTTACTCTCATGGCAATTTTTAGTTTTATTTAAAATACCTCTAAATGAACTTAAAATAATCATAGAAAGGATTTCCACATTGATAAATGCCTTTGTTTTAGCATTAAGTTTTTTTCTTAGACTAACGTAATTTTGTATGGGTTGGATGGAGTGAATTAAATTAAACTGCACTCAACTGCAATAAATAAGTTGATATGTCATCAATTATTTAAGTTTGTCCAACTCAATTACCGTTTTTATCCTGTTACAGTCTTTATCCATAAGTTGTTATATATTAAAGATGTAATTGATTTCTTATTGAATTGAATTGAATTTTATTTTTATAGCATCATATGATCCCCTATGAGCAAGCACTTTGGTGACAGTGAGGAGGAAAAACTCCCTTTTAACAGAAAGACACCTCTAGCAGAACTAGACTCAGGGAGGGGCAGCCATCTTCTGCGACCGGTTTGGGTGAGAGAAGGAAAACAGGATAAAGACATGCTGTGGACCAACGACAGAGATTAATGACAGGTACGATTCAATGCAGAGAGGTCTATTAACACATAGTGAGTGAGAAAGGTGACTGGAAAGGAAAAACTCAATGCATCCTGGGAATCCCCCCCAGCTGTCTACATCAATTGCAGCATAACTAAGGGAGGATTCAGGGTCAGCCCTAACTATATGCTTTAGTCAAAAGGAACGTTTTAAGCCTAAACTTTAAAATTAGAGATACTGTCTCTCTCCCAAATCCAAACTGGGAGCCTGAAGGCTCTCCCTCCCATTCTACTTTTAAATACTCTAGGAACAACAAGTAAGCATGCAATGTGATAGCAAAGGTCATTAAGATAAGATGGGGCCTGATTATTTAAGATCTTGTATGTGAGGAGCAGGATTTTGAATTCAATTCTGGATTTAACAGGAAGCCAATA